CTTTCCTGCTCCCCTGATGCTGCCTAACCTGCTGTGTTCCTCCAGCTCCACACTTTGTTATCTCAGACTCCAGCAATGGCAGTTCTTACTATCTCTTACCATATTTAAAGTTTTGGCAAAGATCTGTAGCTTGGGTTGTGGATGAGGTTGTTGACTTGTTCGCTGAGCCGACTTGTTTTTGTTCAGACATTTCGTCACAGTGAGTAACGGACCAGACAGTATAAATTCCAAGCGGAGTAGAATAACATCGTTTCATCGGAGACTCCACTGACGATGTCACCTAGCATGGTGACAAAACGTCTGAACAAAAAGAAGTCAGCTCAAGTTGGCTTGGCGAGCAAGTCAACAACCTCAAGCTTACTACATCTCTCAAAGTACTCATATAAGCTAATACAAAACATTATTTTCTCAAAGACATTTATCCAATTTACACATGGACATCACGAGGCTATGAAAGACAATTTAATGGAGATAAAATATGTTTCCGAGATGTGTTGATTGGAAAAATGTTTTTTTTTTAATAAGTCTGCTTGTTGAAAAATTAAACAGACTAGAGCTAATAACTCTGGAAATATAAAGCTAGTGTCAATAACGGTGACCATGACTACTATCATGCATGGTCATACAAGCCCACTGGTTCTCTATAACGTCCCTTATTGAACAGAATCCTTACTTGGTCTGAACTATAAACCATTTTAAGCCCATGGCTCCAACAGGAATCAAGCATAGCAGATGCCAGTACCCCTGCTGTACTACCAGGAAATGCAGTTTAGCAGGGAGATGCTAGCAACAGTAATGTTGTAACTTGTAATCCAAAGTATCCCCATAAACACTTTGGGGATGTGGTTTCAAATCCCATCACAACAGCTGGTGGAATTTAAATTCCATTAGTAAATTTGGAATGTAAATCTAAGTAATCCATGATGGTGACTATGAAACTATCATTTTTAGGGAAGAAAATCTACTGTCCTTACCCATCTAGCCTACATGTGTTTCCAGACCGACAACAATATAGTTGACTCTTAATTGCCTTCTAAAATGGTCCGAGCAAGCCACTCAGTCAAGGGCAATTGGGGATGGGAAACTAATTCTGGCCTTGACAGATAAACGTAAAAGAAATTACATGTGGCACAAAATATTCGTGCTTCTCAACATCCTCCATTCCCCTCCCAACACACACCGCAGCAAGAGCCTCACCTGTCTGCAGCCCCCATTTACAGAACAGGCTGTTGTGCGGGAAACCACTTGCTCCAACAATCTGTCCAATAATATGCAGCTCAGCCATCTTCCTGCTAAAAAAGAATATTAGGCTATGAACAAACTGCACCCTCAGCCAAATGTAGAGAGCGACCACACTCCCCAGTATCAAACATTACTTCCATTCTTCTGGCTAAACAAATTATAAACAGATTTCAGGTAAAGCACCCAACAAACCAGGGAAACATACCCACAGATAAAATTGTCAAAAATGACTTTTAAACTTGCAAACTCTAAAAGGTATTGGTGAGGGTTAACTCAAATAGCCATTGTGTGTTCTTTCATTCCTACTCCAAGGTTTTCAGGGCAGGCAAGGCTCAGGAACTCTCAAATATGCTTTATAAAGTATTTTGAATATGGTTATGACATAGGGGGCTATTTGTGTCAGTGCCATCTCTTTCCAACAGCAACTTAGCTTGTCCCATTCCCACATAGGCATACAAAGCTTTTCAAATAATTATCCAATTCCAAAGCCTTAAGTGAGTTTGCCTCCACCAAATCGTAGTGCATTCCCGACAGAGTGTGAAAGAAAAGTTTTTCCTTATGTTTCTTTTGACTCTTTGAAATGCCGTGAGTAGAGGCAAAGCCATACAGCAAACTGATTTTTGTTTATAAGTGCTTCAGCACAAATAAGGTCAACAAAAACATAACAAAATAGGAGGAGTAGGCCATTTGGCCTTTCAAACTTGCTCCATCATTCAATATGATCCTGGCTGATCATCCATCTCAGTCCTGTGTTCCTGCTTTCTCCTCATACCCTTTGATCCTTTTAGCCCTAAGAACTATATGAAATAATCAATGCAATCAGTTCTGGGGATGGGTCACTCAACTCGAAACGTTAACTCTGGTTTGTCTCCACAGATGCAGCCAGATCTGCTGAGCTTGTCCAGCAAATTCTACTTTTGTAATCAATGCAATCCACTGTTTCAGTGCTGTCCCTGTCCTGGGAATGTTTGATTGGCACAGTGTTGAGGCTTCAGTTTAAAAAAGTAAAGGCCGATTTACTCTGCGATTAACCCCAAACTGTTGCCCAGATTCTGTTTGATGGAGAGTAGTGAGGAGTGAAGAAAAAAAATAGATGGAGAAACTCAGCAGGTCTCGCAGCATCTGTGGGCAGAGAAAGAATTAACATTTCGAATCCAGTGATCTTGTTAGATGTTTTATATTAGTTGTTCTTGTTATTTTAGCTATTCTGGTTATTTTAAACAGTCGCCTCCCAGATTTAGGCCCGGTCCGAACCATTATTGACATGCTGACCCACCAATCGGAACGCACCCACTGGACGCATCAGCCAATCAACATCAAGAAGAGGAGCAGCTGCGTTTCGCGTGACGTCCGTGAAATGTCCCAGTTCCCTTCCTCTTCCCTTCTCTATCTTTTCTTCTTTATCTCTTCCCCGTAGTCTCTAGCTCTCTCTTTCACTCTCTCTCCTCCTCTCCTAGTCTTCTTATTCCCTTCCACTATTTCTCCGCTACCGCCATCGACGCCTCAGCCCTTGGCAACCCAGTACTGTGCTCGCCTATTGGCTGGAACGCTACGGCATTCAACCAATTGGAGATGTATGGGGGCGGGGCAAAGTCAGGCATCTGCGGAAACCCCTCCCCCATTGCAGAGCTATCCACCTTTTATGCTTCATCGTGCCCGTTCTTCCTCTCACACTCTAACATTCTCTCGCCACCTCACCGTATCCTTCCTCGCTCTCTTCTGGGGTGCCTCGGTGGTTGGCCCTGATGCCTCAAAGCTCCACGGACCTGGGTTCAGTTCCCACCCTCGGGGGACTGCGTGGAGTTTACATATTTCCCCCCTGTCTATGTGGGTTTCTACTCAGTGTTCCGATTTCCTCCCACGGTCCAAACGTGCAGATTAGATGGATCGGCCATATTGCCCATAGTGTCCAGGGATGTGTAGGCTCAGCGATTAGCCGTTGTTAATGCAGGGTTATGGGGATAGGGCTGCATCTGGGTGGTATGTTTGGAGGGTCGATGCAGGCTGAATGGCTTCTTTCTGCACTGTTGGGATTCTGCGATTTTCTTCCTACATCCCTCTATTTAACCCCTCCCCTTCCCAACCCCATTTCCCTGTTCCCTCTCCCCTCACCTATAACCCTCCTCCTGCTTCTCCTCCATGTCCAAACTATTTTCAAAACTTCTGCCAACCCTGTTCCCACCATGACCTGATCCGAAAATACTTTAAAGGACGTCAAGGCCACGGTGTGAAACCGATTACAAGAATGCTAACAGGGATGAGGGGTGTACATTATAAACTAAGAACATGCAATTATAGAGCATCTTCCTTGATCACTGGACGTCTCAATATGATTTACAGCCAATGAAATAACTTTGGAAGTGTAGTCTGTGGTGTAGTAGGGAAATGCACCAGGCACTTGGCACACAAGGAATAATAGATCATTGAGCCCGTAGACCCTGCGCCTCCATTTAACAGGACCATCTCCAGGTATTCCCAGTTAGCCAAGAAAGAAAGAGCTGCAGGGAGGCGTTGCTGAACCATGGAACCACTCTTTGTCTGCCTCCAGTCGTGGGGATGGTGGGGGAAGCATGATGGGTGTCTGAAAAGATACTTTAACCAAGGAGAGGGGGAAGATAGAGATTGTGATTTTTTTCAAAAATCTAATGAGCCTGCAACATTTTGCTGTAAATTCATAGATTACCACAGTACAGAAGGTTAGGTTGTCATGTCTGTGTTGGTCAATAAAGATCTGACTACACTAATACCATTTTCCACTTCTTCGCCCACAGCCCTGGAGCCATGGCAACATAAGTCAGTACTAAAATACTACTTAAATATTATGAAAGTTTCTGACTCAACCATCCTTTCAGGCAGTGAGTTCCAGACTCCCACTCTCTTCCCTCTGGGGAATGTTTCCTCTGTAAATTTATAAACCAGCAGAGTATTAATATCTGTTTCAAAAAATGAAAAGGATCTGAATTATTTTTGTATTTTTGCAAACCTATTTCACTAACTGAAAATTATTATTTGAGAAAAAGTGCAAGAATTCACCTCAACTCTCCTCCTAGCTTTCTATCTCTCATATTCAATCTATAGCCCATGGTTATTGACCTCTCTACTAATGGAAAAGTACCACCCTTTCTATGCCCTTTATAATCTTATAATCCAATAGCAGATTCCCTCTCAACTTTCACTGCTCCAATGAACAATCCCAGCCTACCCAATCTTTCCTTGTAGCTAAGACCCTCTAGCCCAGTCTGCATCTGGATAAAAACAAAAACAAAGTTGCTGGAAAAGCTCAGCAGGTCTGGCAGCATCTGTGAAGGAAAAAACAGAGTTAATGCTTTGGGTCCGGTGACCCTTCCTCAAAACTGCATCTGGATAAATCTCCTTTGTATCCTCTCTACTACAATCACATCTGGTAGATCTCAACAATGAGATCCTTGATTGGGATTGTTATGGGCCAATCAGGAAGGCCTGGCTGACCAAGATAAACAGGGGATTCAGAATCTCCTTAGTTCACTGACGTCCTTGGAGCTGGCTGGCCACAGTATACTGTGCACATGTAAATAAGGGATGACTTGGTGACGGCATACTGACCTCTGTCTTTATTTCAACATCCTTCCTATAATGTGGTGAGCAGAACTGCACACAGTTCTCCAGCTATTGAGTAACCAGCATTTTATACAGTTCCAGTGTAGCCTCCTTGCTGATGTATTCACAGAGGAATGCTCAGCACTGTAGGAAGAAGGTTAATAACTTTCTCCACTCCACCAGCGTAAGTACCATTGTCTCCTTTCGTATACCTCACACTCATTCTGTCTCTGCTAATGTACCCACATCCTACGAAGACCTGTGCTCTATCACTTTTACTATTACATGGGCATATTCCCTCACTTGCTTTCACCCACCCTTGATGTCTGATGCCAAAAGTCCTGCATGCTCTCAGCGCTGCCTACTCATTCAGTCAATTCACCTAATCACCTGCACTACAAATAACAGCTGTGCCACCCATTTTCATCTCCTGTAGGATTCTTAGAGAAGACAAACAGGCTAACACCACCATCTTGGAGGAGGCCAACATACCCAGCATCACCACCACCATCGTTAAACAGCAACTCCAATGGACAATCAAGTCATCTGAATGCCCAATGTGTGCCTCCCAAAACAGATCATGTACTCCCAGCTAAAGGAAGGTGAGCATGCCCCTGGTGGCCAAAATAAATGCTTCAAAGATAACATTCGGACCAACCTCAAGAAATTCCATATTAGCATCACCAATTGGAAGGACATGACTACAAACCAGAATCACTGGCGAAACATTGTCCAGTAGGGAGCTATACGCCATGAGAACAATATCCGCCGTGCCGCTGAACAGAAGCGACTCTTACGTAAGAAAAGAAGGTATCAGGAAGGCCCACCCACCCACAACCTCCAACCACCATGCCCACAATGCAACAGAATCTGTGGATCCCAGATTGGTGTCCAACATAGAGGTCCTTTGGAGTAAGTGCTGAGCTGAAGTCGCCAAGGTACCCACTCTGATTTCCATGTTCCATGGTGCAGTTAGTAAGATGAGAAGCTAAATGTTATTGAGATGTATAAACAAGTGATAGTCTCCCTTAATTAGCAACTCACGGTTGCCTAATGAGATATTTGCCTCACCACTTGGCAAAAGCATAAAACATGCAGAAAGTTGCTCCTGTCGTTGAGATAGGCTTTGCCAGATTTCCCATGCAATTCTGCTATAAATCTCACCATCACTCAAGTCATGTAAGCTGTTATAAGATTCCACTTTCGTAAAACGATCATCCATTGTTGTCTACACACCCATCTGGCTCCCTGATGTTCTTCATCCTTATCCCCAGTCTGGCCTAAGAGTGACTCCAGACACACAGCAATTAATTGCTCTCAGAAATGGCCTAGCAAACCAATAAGTTCAGGGTCAATTAGAGATGGACAACACATGCTGGCCTTAACAGTGACACCCGCATCCTTCAAAAGGATAAATTTTAAAAATGACACTTTGGGGAACAGTGTATGTTGCCCTCACAGCTAGCGTATTAAATTAAGTAGTTAATTTCTGAATTGAGGTATAATTATTGTTTTTTGCTCATGTTTTAGATCGCATTTTATTTCTATACACTGGTCAGCCCGTGTAATGTGCGGTTGGGCTACCTGGTTTTATATGAAATTGCATTGTCAGAGATATTGATTTGGGGAAATCATCTTGATGGATATTGGAGTGAAATCAATTTGATCTTTCTCTGGAGATGTAGCCATTGTCTCAATAAGTTTGATCTGAAACAATTACATCACTTTCTTGATGTTATGAACATCGACTCCTGGTTAAGACAGTGACAGGCTGAAGACAATAAACTATTAATTTCTGATCTGAAACCATTGTCAAAACTACTTTGCTTCGTCCTGTTCAATTCATTAGGAAAGTTGCCATAGTCCCACTCTCCCACTGAAGAGAGGCGTCTGATGGTGGTTTAACCTGAGGGTCACCATGTTTCAGGTGACGGGTAGAGGTCGAGAGGAGAGTTATTTGTGGTAACCCATGCTATTTGTGTCACTCTATAATGCCAATCAGTCATCCGATCTCCAGTTCTCTAGTATTATGAATGACATTGTGATGTTGGGCTTGACTTCTTTGATGCTGCAGCAAATTTTCAAGATGCGAGAATCAGAATCCTGCTTTATAATTTCTTTGAGACTGCAGAGAAAGGACAGAGATTCATGTAGTTAACTGGAAAAGAAGGTGTCATAGTCAATTGGTAGCAAAGACCATTTTAAAATTGCAGATTGCCAATACATTGGTATCCGATTTATCTTAATAACACTGTCACGTGCAAAAACATTCTTAGAGAGTTTGTTTGTTGCCATACTTTTAGTAAGTAAATACAAACAATTAAAATACCTCAAAGGACATCAAGTTTTAAATCTTCATGGATTCCTTACTTTGAATGTGAAGGACAGTTTCCTGATTCCTTATTGCAATGATGAATTAATAATGTTAAATCAGAGTTATATATTTGCTGTGACATTCACTACATTTTATGCTTAAGCCAATCTACTAAATCATTGAAACAGGCATTACAATTGCTTACATCGTTTACACTAACTTATATTAGACCATAAGATATAAGAGCAGAATTAGGCCATTCGGCCCATCGAGTCTGCTCCATGATTTAATCATGGCTGATATATTTCTCAACCCCATTCTCCAGCCTTCTCCCCTTAGCCATCGGTCCCCTTATTAATCAAAAACCTACCTATCTCTGTCTTAAATACACTCAATGACTTGGCCTCCACGGCCTTCTGCAGCAGTGAGTTCCACAGATTCACCATCCTCTGGCTGAAGAAATTCCTCCTTATCTCAGTTCTAAAGTGTTGTCCCTTCACCCCGAGGCCGTGCCCTTAGGCCCTAGTCTGTCCTACAGTGAAAATATCTTCTCCAGGTCTGCTCTGTTCAGGCCTTTCAGTATTCTGTAACTTTGAATCAGATCCCGCCTTATCCCTGGGATCATTCTTGTGAACCT